CCCCCCCCCCCCCCCCCCCCCCCCCGCACTCTAGAGAGCAGAGCCCTGGGGCCGCCGCCTCGGACCGCATCTCTCCCCTCCCAGCTCCTGCCGGCCAGAGCTGGCGCCTGCTCGGATCGGGGCGTCCTCTGTCCTATTCAGGCCTCAGTCCTCCCTGGAGCCTCGCACCTGCAGCCCCCCTGAACTGGGTGCCCCCGCAGCTCCCGATGCACTCATTCGTCCAGGGGCCTGGAGGAGATGTGGTCCCGTCCCCTGCCTGATGCTTGGACGCAGGGCGCCTGCCCATCTGGGAGCCCGTCCGGGCACTGTCCGTTCCCTCTCTTCTTCCCGGGTTTCTCTCGCCACCGGGGCCCCCTCCTCTGACTGCTCCTTCTGCCCACAGGCTGGAGTGAAGGACACAGAGAACCGTGTGGCCCTGCATGCCCTGACGCGGCCGCCAGCCCTGCTCCTCCTGGCTGCGGCCAGCAGCGGCCTGCGCTTCGTGCTGGCTTCCTTCGCCCTGGCCCTTCTGCTGCCCGTGTTCCTGGCCGTGGCAGCCATGAAGCTGGGCCTGCGGGCCCGATGGGGCTCACTGCCCCCACCGGGAGGCCTGGGGGGCCCCTGGGTGGCAGTGCGCAGCTCGGGTGACGTGTGTGGGGTGCTGGCCCTTGCCCCAGGCTCCGGTGCTGGGGACGGGGCCCGGGTCACCCGCCTCTCCGTCTCCCGCTGGCACCGCCGCCGAGGTGTGGGCAGGCGGCTGCTGGCCTTTGCTGAATCCCGGGCTCGGGCCTGGGCGGGAGGCATGGGGGAGCCCCGGGCCCGGCTCGTGGTCCCAGTGGCTGTGGCAGCTTGGGGCGTGGCGGGGATGCTGGAGGGGTGCGGCTACCAGGCTGAGGGCAGCTGGGGCTGCATGGGCTACACGCTCGTAAGAGAGTTCAGCAAGGACCTGTGACTGGACCCGGCCGGGAGGGAGAGCCCGTAGCGAGCACTTACTGTGTGCAGGTCCTCCCTCTGTGAACCCCCAGCCCTCCGGGGGCCCACAAACAGGCCTGCAGAGGGCGAGCGGCCCCACTGCAGGCTGGTGTCTGTCTGTAGCGCGTGAACCTCTCAGAGAGGTCAGCCTGTCCGGGGTTCGTGTGCGGTCTTGCCCGCAGAGGCCGCACCATTTGTGGTGCGGGCCTGGCAGAGACGTGCGGGGAAGAGGGGGCCTGACGAGTGTGGCTACCTCTGTGGGCTAAGACTTGGGGCGGGGGCACCCCAAATGGGGGACACGGCCCTCCTGGGAACGGGGTGGAGTGCAATGACTGGAGGGGATGAACAGAGCCTCTGCAGGGGAGGGTCATGGCTCAGAGAGGCCCTGGCGAGGACGGGGTGGGTGCAGGGTGGGCGCGGGGTGGGCCCAGGGCAGCCCAGGGTAGGCCCCTCCCGGGAAGGTGAGCTGAGAGGAGCGGCCAGACCCATCTGGTTTTTTACACCCGATTGTTAATAAAGCCTGGTCTCGCTCTCTCTGATGCCTTTTCCAGTCCGTCTCTGCACACCACTCCCCTCCTTCTGTCTGGCTTCTCCTTTTCCCTGAGTTGACATTAATTGTTGCTGGGGGTGCTGGACGGGGAGAAGGGGCGGCGATGAGCTCACGGCAGCCCCACTCCCTGCCAGCCTCTGACTCACGCTCCCCATTACCGAATTTTTTCCGCCTCACAGCTGCCTGGTGCAGGGAGAGTGGGGGTGGGGGGAGCAAGTGAGGGTGTGTGCGGTGTCCCCCTCCCTCAGCCAAGACTGGACCCCTCGCCCTTCTGCCTCCCTGCCCCCTCCGCTCCCTGGAGTTCAACCACAGCTCTCACAGATGGGGGACCGAAGGGTTTGCATTCAGCCCCCCACCCCCACCCACAGGGGGAACAGACGGGTTTCTCAATCTCTTTTCCAATCAGGAAGTCCTTCCTGGTGTCTGGCTGCAAGCCTTCTTGCTGCTGAACCGTGAGCCCCAGATGTGCCGAGTCCCCGAACCCAGCTGCTAGTTTGAATCCATTCTCAATCCGCTCCACCCTGGTCTCCCCATGCTCCCTGGCTGGACGGGAGAGGAGGCAGATGGGTGGGTGCCGGTGTGTGACCCCGGCTGGTCCCTTTCCTGAGCATCTCTACGCACAGCAGGGCGCCTGGCCTGGAGTCTCTGGCTCCCTGTGGGAGTTTGAAGTTGGACACCCCCCGGCCCCCCCCCCCCCCCCCCCCGCCACCCCCCTCCTCGCCAGGCCTCAGCTGCCGGCCAGGCCAGCCCCCTCCCTTCCCCCCTCCTGTCCCCTGCTGCCGCTCGGCAGGCAGCCTCTCTCTTCCTTCTGGCAAAGCGTCCAGCCCCTGCCTGCTCCTCCCCGGTCCAGGGCGCCTCTGGCAGGCGCTTCCCTCCCTCCCTCCCTCCCTCTCTCCTTCCCTCCCTTCGGTGGCCGCAGCCTCCTCCCCTCTCCGGCTTGCGTCCCCTTTCACCCCGTCCCTGCCCTGGACTCTGCAAACATGAGGGTCTTGGCCTGCCTTATCGGTGAGTGACCCCTTCTCCTTGGGGACTTGGGGACCTCTGACCCCTGAGCTCATCCACTTGAATGACCCAGACTTCCAGGACCCTGTCCCTGGTGCTTGGGATAAGGGACATCTGGTCCTCCTTGCCTGATCCCCCAAGGGACCCGGCTTTTTGCACATCCACTCCTACCCTCTTAGGACCCCAGGGACCTACCCTCCTCCGCCACCGGCCCTGACCCTGGGGGGAGGGGTCACCCACCATTTGACCTTAGCCAGGCCCCTGCGGGGAGCACAAAGCCTGGCTCCCAGCCCTGACCTGAGGCATGTGGGGCCCCGCCCGTCTCAGGGACCTGAGTCTTAACCAGCCCTTTACCCAGAGTCCTGCCTCCCAGTAGTGGGGTTTCTGGTTCAGAGGTGTGCACACTGTGTGTGTGTGTGTGTGTGTGCGCGCACGCACGCGTGTGTTGGGGTATTGAAGACAAGGGGTCTGCACTGGAGAAAGCACCCCCTGTGGGCCTGCCCTCACTCTACCCTACCCCCTCCACCCCCCCTTCCAGCAGCTCTAATGGGGATCCAAGCTGTTGGTAAGTGGCCCTGAGCACGTCTGCCTGACCTTGCACAGTTCCAACCCACCCCTGCCCAGCCTCACCCTCCACGGGGAACCTGGCTGCCCTGCGTGCGCCCGTGACCTGGGGCACTTCTTCTCCCCTCCCACCCAGAGCCGCCGCTGGCCAGCCTCCAACTTCCTGTGGGGGCCGCTGCTCTCCTGGGAACCCCGGAGCTGGGAGGCTGGCCTCCCACCGCACCCTGCAGGACACATGGCCCCCACCCCCGCCTTTCCTGGGCCCCGGCGCCGCCCCCCGACTGTCACAGCCTTTCCTCTGTCCCCCCAGAGCGGCTGCGCCTGGCCGACGGCCCCCACGGGTGCGCCGGCCGCCTGGAGGTGTGGCACGGCGGGCGCTGGGGGACCGTGTGCGACGACGGCTGGGACCTGCGGGACGCCGCCGTGGCCTGCCGCGAGCTGGGCTGCGGGGGCGCGCTGGCCGCCCCCGGAGGCGCCTTCTTCGGGGAGGGCGCGGGCCCCGTGTGGCTGAGCGAGCTGGCCTGCCGGGGCCGCGAGGGCCAGCTGGGGCTCTGCCCCCACCGCGGCTGGAAGGCGCACATCTGCTCCCACGAGGAGGACGCGGGCGTGGTCTGCGCAGGTGAGGGGCCTCGGCCCGCCCTCGGGGGCGCTCCCGCAGCCGCTCCCAGGCCCTGACGCCCCCTCCTGCTCC